TTTCACAACCATATATGAAACAACTTCATCAAAAAAAGTATTATATGAAACAATTTCACAAGATTAAACAATTTCATGAAAAAATTTCATAAGATGAAACAATGAAATCGATGGATGAAGGTGGTTTGCACGGTTTACACAAATGAGGGAGGTTTTCATTTGATCACTCCTCTATTATATTATATTATATTATATATATATATATATATATATATATAGAGAGAGAGAGAGAGAGAGAGAGAGAGAGTGTGTGTGTCACATTATAAACCCAAAATTGATTGGGAACATAGGAACCGTCCAGAGCGTGTCACGTATCCCCCTTCACTATAAATATTCATAATAAATAAGATAGTTTGTTATTCATTATGAATCACATATTCATGATGAATAACGCATCTATAATACTGATTAATATGACACATATCACATTGTAGAAGGTTCCCAAGTTTCTAATCAATTTTAGGTTCTTAATGGAACCTGCCCCTATGTATATAGGTGAAAGATCGTGTGAGAAACGTAAGAATGATCTTGACCCTTGATCAATTTTAATCTCAAACTCACACATTAATCGTGCTTGATACGAGGATTGATTTGATGCATCCCATCTTAAAGTGCATCAAAGGGCGGATATTCATTCTTACACTTCTCACTGTAACTCTCATCCTCATCGGAACTCAACCCCTCCCCCCCCTCTCTCTCTCTCTCTCTCTCTCTCTCTATATATATATATATATATATACACACACACACACACATACACACGCACGTACGCATGATAATAAACTCGAAGCTTGTAAACTTATTTTTTTAAGTATATAATATTTATATACGACAAATAAAACTCACATGCATGAAAAAGTTGCACACTATTATTAGGTAAAAGAAGTCAAAAAAATTAGCTTATCGGATACCATTGGGCTAAAAATGCATTGAAAATCCTATAAGCTTGTTTGATAATGCTTGCACACCATTATCAGATAAAAGAAGTTTTCAGCAATCTGTACTGTGTTTTTTGTATTTTTTTTATCTTATGTAAACAGTATTTGAAAGTCTAATAGGCATCGACAGCCGATACGTGACATTGTTCTATAATTACGAACAATATATCTACAAAATAAAAGTTGATAGGATATAGGAACATTCGGTTTCTGTGAGACTTGTAAAACTAGAGAGGAGAGTTGCCAAAAACTCAGGGACATAACTGGGACCGGTTAAGATTTTGCAGGTATATTGAGCTTTCCAGTCTCAAAGAAAAATATAGAGACTATTTACAACCGGTCGTGGGCCCTACCTGTTTTTTATTTAATAAATTCAATACTTCAGGGAAATTTTTTAAACAAAAGGTTACTGATGGTACCAAAATTGTGTTTTTATATCGGTTGGTATTATCATATCAAATTTGCAAACTTGGTACTGGAAATCGCTAATCATGCTACTGTCATTATATACCGACATCTGTATATTTGAATAGTTGTTTATCTGTTAGTTATTAATTAATATTTAATCGACTACAACAATCCACTTTCGAGTTTTCCTCATTTCTAATTCTAATTTGATCAAAAATTTGAATTTCAATTCCTTTCGTATCCCTAACGTATTCACGCTCTGCCACTACTCTCTCTTGGATTCGCCTTTCGTTGCGCTCACGCTCACGCCACTGCTCAAAGTCTGTATTAGTTTTGAAGTACTGAACATTGAGTTTTGAACTTCGTATGGATATTGAATATATTTTGCTTATTTTGTGTATTTGAATTACAGGTTTGTAAAATCGGTGCATAATCAACCGAAAAAAACTTGTTACCAAGTAAAGTTAGATTATACAGGAGATTCTGTACCAGTTATAAGTTGGTTGGTATACTGTATAACAGAGAAATATGAT